AATTGTGGTTAAAGAAATAACCACAATGATGAGGAGGGTGATATGCTTGAAGCATTTGGTATGTTCAAACAGGATGGGTTGATTAAAGAAGCAAAACGGGGAATTCACACTACTGAGTATATAACAGAATCCCAGTCAGAGGATGATAAGAAAACAAAACTGTAGACAAATTACTGAAACTTCAGAAATAACAGGACAGTATTAACAGGGAACAGAAACTACCTTAACATTAACTAGATCAAAGGTATAGAGGGCAGAATTCTTAAAATGCATTCAAGAGAACTTTCTTGGCCAATGCAGACCATGACCAAGATAATGACAATCAATCAGTGGGAAAAATTTCGGTGGCAGTGATCAAAATAGATTTAGATTTAATTTTTTTAAAAATTATGTAATTACGGAAAAGAATAAAGACAAAATAAACATTAAGTTTTAAATTTGAGCAAGTCCAATTTTGCTGCATGGAGTTTTCTTCAGACTTGATGGTAAATCTATGACAACATCAGGTGGTATTCAAGGAGGTATGCGTTCAGAACAGATACTTTCATTAAGAAAAAGAATGTTGGGTGTAAAATGCAAAATACTGACAAATGAAGGAAAACCTAAAGGTGTGTTATGAATATACGAAAGGCAAGAGTAACTAGGGAAAATGTAGGAACAATTGGAATGGAAAAGGTAACATATGGAGGCAGAAGACATGAACACAGTTTGTAATGAAGACTTTATATCTGTTTTCATAAAAAGAGGGGGACAAAGCAGACACTACAGTGCAGTACACTACAAAGCAGTTCAGGAGGACTGTAATATGCTTGAGGGTATAAAAAGCAAAGGAGGAAATACTAAGGTGTTTAGAATCTTTGCTATTTTTTGCCTCTGCAGCTTGGGATGCATTTCATCTGAGCCTGGTGACTATTCACTCTCAAAGGCTCTATTTTTCTCTCTGAATGTAAGCAATCAGAACTGCTAATGCAGTTGTTTTAAAAAGGCAGGTTGAATAGCCTGAGGAATGATGTCAGTCAGCTTGGAATAAAGTCATAGACCCAGCATCATCCTTTTAGAATGGTTTGGATTGATTATGGTCAATCTACATGAATTTGACAGAAGGCTGCATCTGAGTGATTTGTTTTGAGGCCTTAACAAGAACAATTGATGGCATGATTGATATGGTCCACAGATTTTAGAAGGGGCATTGATAAGGTTCCAAATGGCAAGTTGGTCAGAAAATCAGAACCATATGGGATCCAAAAGGATGTGGCAAGTTACATTCACAAATGGCTCATTTGCAGAAAGCAATGCATATGATGGCTCACAGGTGTTTTTGTGACTGGAAGGCAGTTTCCCACAGGACTTCAGAGCCAAGAACACGACGCCTTGTCTGCCTGGTATAGCTCAATAATTTAGACTTAAATGACATTTGACGATACAAAACTTACCCTTGTGCTTTGTAATGAGAAATAATGTTATTGACTACAGAAAAATATTAAAGGATGGTAAAATGGGCAGAAGCTGGAATTCAATCCAGAAAAGAGGTAATGTTTTTGGGGAGATAAGTCAAAACAAAGGAATATACAATAAGTGGCTGAATACTGAAAGATACAGAGGGCCTTGAAATACATATACCCAGATCCCTGAATGACAGGTAGGTAAATCCGACTGAAGCCTGGAATATACAAGAGATTGTGCTATAACAATATTAGAACTGGTTGTACTAGAGCTGCAGTACTGTTTACAGCTTTGGGTCATCCATTACAGTAAGGATTTGATTGCACAGAAACAGTACAGAATGAGATTTGAGGATTTTGCAGGGCGAAAGAACTTTAATTTTGAAGGAAGATTGTTGGTTTGTTTTCTTTGCAAGAGAGGTGGCTGAGGGGAAGTTTAATTGAGATGTATAAAATTGATGGGCCAAATACCTTTAGCAGAAGGGTCACTAAGTAGACAGGAATGGATTTGAAATAACTGATAGAAGGATTAGAGGGGACTGGAGAAATATTTGCATTGAGCGGGTATTGGGTGCCTGCAGCTGACTGCCTGAAAATAAAGCCACAAAAAATCTCAGTGTATTTACTGCATAATAGTGGACCAAAAGCTGAAAAGTGAAAAGTGAAATTAAGCTTGATAGCTCTTTTCCATCTGGCACAGATATAACTGACCAAATGAGATAGTATGAACTGCCGATGCTGCAGTCAGAGATAACACAGTGGAGAGCTGGAGGAACACAGCAGGCCAGGGAGCAGAGGAGCAGGAAAGCTAACGTTTCAGGTCGGGATTTCTGAAGGGTCCTGACCCGAAATGTTAGCTTTCCTGCTCCTCTGATGCTGCCTGGTCTGCTGTGTTCCTCTAGCTCCACACTGTTATAATGGACCAAATGCTTTCATACAATGCTGTAATTTCTAGTTTAGAGTTCTATAGTTAAGCTGGGAATGGCAGAAGACAAGCAGGTAACAAATAAAGGAATAAAGTCTTGATGACCAAGTTGGAACCCCAGAAGAAAACAATGTATGAGGCTAAAGTATTTGCAAAGATGCAACTGGACTATGCCTTAAACACTCTTCCCTCCCCCAAAAACAAACTTCTCAACATAAGAACTAGGAGCAGATGTAGACAGTTCAACTCCTCAAGCTTACTCCACCATTTCACATGCTAATGCCTTATCTCATCAGAGATTCACTTTCCTGCTCACTCTCCGTAACCCTTCAAGCCATTATTCATTAAAAATTCATCTACTTCCTCCTCAAATTTACTCAATGCCCCAGCATTCACCATTATCTGCAGTAGTGAATTCCACAGATTCATGACCGTTTCAAGAGTAACGTCTCTTCATTGGTTTTAAATCTGCTACCATTTGCTGAATATTAGGGAGCCGTAAAAACTGAATGTTCCTAGTATTTACCACGTAGCATGAGATTTCATGTTACCAGCTTTTACAGCAGTACTTAACTTTCCAGAATTCAGCATATGGCAATGAAAAAGAATTCTGAAAAATAGAGGTCGTGATGCCCATTGAACTAGCATCAACAATTTAGCTAGCACCAAACATATTTTATTACGTGGGTTGTTTTTGAGCATTAGTAGTATTTGTTCTTAGCAAGAGTGGTAAACTAACCCTCAGATGTAGGTGGACAATGGTCATCCAACGTCATGAGTAACTCTGCCATGGCTATTAGCCAAAAGGGTTCAGACAACCAGTTGACAGAAAATAACCTGCCCCTTAGAAATGTGATAAGTGCAAGCAGCATATGGGAATTCTTAGAGGGTAGTTCTCATCAGGCAGTCTCCAGAGAGCAGTCTTCATTAAGCAGTTCTCACCAGGCAGATGGAATACAGTCTAGGAGGAGGACAGGAGGCAGACACAGGAAAGTGTTCCCTCACCAATACTTATCCAGTTGCAGCAACACTTCCCTACTTTTATATTCTACACCTTCAGCAGTAAATGCCAAAATTCCATTTGCCTTCCTTGTTATCTACCATACCTTTATACTAATTGTCTGTGATTCATGCACAAAGACATGCGGATTCCTTTGACCTGATGTACTCTTAAGTTTCTCTATAGTTTCAGATAATTGCCTTGCTTTTCCTCGGACCAAAATGGATAACCTCATACTTATCCACGTTAAACTTCATCTGCCAAACTGTGGTCCATTCACCTAACCTATCTATATCCATTTGCAAATTACTTTCCCATCTATTTTGGGGTCATCTGCAAATTTGGTTATAGTACTTTCCATCCCCACATCCAAGTCATTAATATCGATTGCAAATAGTTGGGGCCCCAAGCACCAAACTTTGTGACACCTCACTTGTTAGACCTTGCCAACCAGAGATAAGAACCATTTATCCTGACACTGGTTTCTGTTGGTTAGCCTCTATCCTAGCTAATAAAATATCCCTAACCTCATGTGATTTTACCTTTTGTGCAGCACCCTATCAAATACTTTCTGGAGGTTCAGATATGTGACATTTACAGGATCTGCATTACCCACCTTGCTTGTTACATCTTTGAAGAACTCTAAGAAATTAGTCAAACATGATTTATTCTTCATAATACCATAATGACTTTGATAGATTGAGTTTTGATTTTCCAAACATCTTGTTACTTTGTTAATAATGGGAAATGGTTAGAAACCAACAACATATTAAACTAACTGGTCTATAGTTTCCTACTTTCTGTCTCCCCTCCCTTTCTGAATAAGAATTGGCATCATAATGCAATTTCTAAACAGTTCAGTACACGTGATATTAAGCAGCTCAGTGAGCTGGGCACAGAAAATGCTGTTTCCTGTCATCATTTTGATTGCAATGCTGACGATTGGCACTTAACTAATTCATGACATTGACATCCACTGAGAATGTGGGAAATTGTTTAAGGGTGTCTGAGCAACAAAACCAAAACAAATATAACTTATCCAATTAGTGGATCATCAATTTCCCACAAGCACCAAACTTGATATTGTAGTGATAGTTTCTACTTCCTAGCTAAAATGCAATTTAAATGTAGTGACCACTGAACTTTTAAAGACAAGGTAGGAACTATAGCAATGGCCAGTTTCTGCAAAAAAATAATCACTTGCTTAATGAGTGAATTTAATTAAAGACATGTTACACCATTCTGCATCTTAAGTACTAGGGATGCAAAGACAAATGCTAACCCTGCAAAAGGGGTAAATACTATATTTTTAGGCTTAAGTGGACTGGCGAATTTGTTAAATAGTACAGAATCAAAAGACATATTTTAAAATAAAAATTTTACTTGGGATGAAATATTTCTAGAAATCAAGGATTAACAGTCAAGTTACCCCAGCCAGTATCCTTTATAAATAATTTGTTTTGTGTGCTTGTAACGCATGAACTATGAACTGAAAATAAACACGGAGCCTTTACTCCAATACAAATCTGTTGCTTTTAGATTGCTCCAATTACTCTTCAAAAGTGTAACAATCACCAACAAAAAAAACACAGTAGAACATGGTACTTAATGTACACAAAATGTATTACATTTATAAAAGTTAAACGAATACTTTATTTACTTGCAGTTAAAACATGACAAAACATTCAAGTGGCAGATAATCATAATGCAAGCCCTTGCATGGCAATCCATAATAATGAATTGACACAAGGTTATACAAAAAAATTGCACCACTCTATGGAAATTAAGGCTTTTAAAGTTTACACGGCCATCTTAAAGCACTTGCAGCATTAAGTTGGTCATTTCAAATACTGTGGCTCAATTCCATACACAATCTTCTACCCAAAAGTTAATGCATACAAAGCATGAAGGCATTGTTAAATAAATCAGCGGAACTTGGGCCGTGAGACCAATTACACTCTAATAAAAATTATTTCTCACATTCACCATCAATACCCACAGTACTCTTCCACCAGGAAACATTTCAACAAAACATTACACGTGAAACATAACCACTAACAGGCAATGTCTAATTTAATGTATATTTGGTACTGATAATTACAAATATGCATAAGCAAGCAGAATTAGTGAGAACCCACAGTTGTAGGAGCAGATCAGGAGTGATCTCCAAGCTAACTTGTAAAGTTTTAAAATAAGTATTTTAAAATATATAATTCCTGTTGTTGACCCGCACTGTACAATCCTTTATAAACATTATCCATGTAAACAGAAAAGGAAACATACAATGAAAGACATGACATTTTTTTCTGAAAATGTTAACAGCTATTTGAAGGCAACAGTGTAGACCAAAGACAAAATATGACTAAAACAAAAACATACTTTTTATACATAGAAATCACTGTTTCCACAGGTTTTACTAAAATAAAAACTCAAAATACTTTAATAGCTGTTGCAATTATCAGAGCACAGTTATACACTAAAACAATGATTTTGCATCTCCATTTTAAAAGCAACAAATATTGAAGAAGCAGTGTTAGCTGTGAGAAACCATCTATTCTAAAGATATCTTTGGACTTCCATCTTTATTATGCTAAAATAGTGGTGCTTTCAGGAAATTACATAACTTAATTGACAAAAAAGGGAATTACCAATATTTATTTATTAGCTTAATGTAACATTGGTGAAAGGAGTACTTGCTCCATGTGATCATCAGTAACACTGAATGTAGGTCCTAGTTTTAACAGTTGCCTACTATTAGAATGTTTAGAAGTAAAAAAAGCTTTCTGTTCTTGCAATGCTGAAAATATTATAATTACTTTATGTGCAAAGTGACTTGGGAGCTTTCATCCATTTGTTGAAGGGTACCACCACAGGAAAGTCCATTTTTCAGATGTCAATAGGTTTAGTAAAGTGGAATGCTGGCACTGTCAAAATGGGAAATAGTTCATCATGTCTGCAATTAAAAAAAATACTTTAGTTAATTTCATACTATACCATTTCTAGTCTAGAGACATCTTGAGAAGTTTCAATCAATCATAGGCTAAGTAATCTTTACTCTCAGTTTAAAAGAAACTTCACAAAGAAGAACATTGAGCCCCATCACATTGTTGACGAAACCAAAATTCATTATTTTCTCAGCATTTACTTCAATCTCCCTTTTCTCCAAAAAAACCCATCAAGTTGAAGTCATTGATGTTGTTCACTTGTTGTAATTAATATTGGAATACAGGAATACTGCAGTGAGTAACTCACTCGACTCCTCAAAGCCTGTCCACCATCTACAAGGCACAAGTCAGGACTTGAGGCTGTTTTCGTTAGAGAGAAGGTGGTTAAGAGGTGACTTAATAGAGACATACAAGATGATCAGAGGATTAGATAGGGTGGCCAGTGGGAGCCTTTTTCCTCAGATGGTGATGGCTAGCACGAGGGGACATAGCTTTAAATTGCGGGGTGATAGATATAGGACAGATGTCAGAGGCAGGTTCTTTACTCAGAGAGTAGTAAGGGCGTGGAATGCCCTGCCTGCAAAAGTAGTAGACTCGTCAACTTTAAGGGCATTTAAATGGTCATTGGATAAACATATGGATGATAATGGAATAGTTTAGGTTAGATGGGCTTCAGATTCGTTTCACAGGTCGGCGCAACATCGAGGGCCGAAGGGCCTGTACTGCACTGTAATGTTCTATGTTCTATGCTCTAAATTTACAAATGGATATGGATACAAATGAAATTGGCCAAAATTTAGCAGATGAAGTGTAACATGACTGAGTGTGAGGTTATCTATTTTGGTCAGAGGTATAGAAAAGCAGATTATCTAATGCAGAAAAACTTCAGAGTGCTTCGTTGCAAAGGGATCTGGGTGTCCTTGTGCATGAATCGTAGAAAACGAGTATGCAGATAATAAGAAAGGCAAATGGAATTTTGGAATTTATTACGAAAGGACACAGTATAAAATTAGGGGAATGTTGCTGCAACTGTACAAGGCATTAGTGAGACTGCATCTGGAGTACTGCATACAAATTTGGTTGTCTTACGTGAGGAGGGATGTATTTGCATTGGAGGCAGTTCAAAGGAAGTTCACTAGATTGATTCCAGAGATGAGGGGCTTGTCTTATAAAAGTGATTGAGCAGTTTAGGCTTATACTCTCTGGAATTTAGAATAATAAGAGGAGATCTAATTGAGGGATATAAAATGCCAAAGAGAGTTGACAAAGCAGACATACGAAGAGGATGTTTCTTCATGTGGCAAAGTCTAGACCAAGAGATCATCGTTTTTGGATAAGGGGTAGCAGATTTAAAACAGAGATGAGAAGAAATTATTTTTCTGGAAGGGTTGTGAATCTGTCGAATTCAGTACTCCAGAGTGTGGTTGATGCTGAGACGCTGAATAAATTTATGGAGGAAATAGACAGATTTTTAATGAGTAATGGGCTGAAGGGTTATGGAAAGCAGGCAGAAAAGGGGAGTTGAGGTTGGGGTACGACTATCAAATGACGAAGCATACACAAGGGGCTGAATTGCCTACTCTTGCTCCTAGTTATATTCTTATGTAACTTTTAAAAATCTTCTGTTTAATACTAATGAAGGTTTCTAGCTTTCTAATTCAGTTCAACCTATAAAACACATCAAATTTAATCAAAATTCTTCAGCATACTAGTAGATTGAGTTCTTTGTCTTGTGGCAAAAATGTATGTACACAATTTTCAAAAAATAGTTTGCATTTATTACACAAGAAGAAATTCATTTTTAAATATGTGCAGCTAATACCATAGTCTACAATGTACCCTGTCTTTTTCCCTCCAAAACAAGTATAATAGTTGCATGCAATCCTTTTTTTTTCACCTGGCGTGAAGTTAGAATAGATCTGTATTAAAGCAGCTGGCATTTTGAGGTTTTTTGAGGCCTTCCATAAACTGGAGATTTTCTGTTGATTTGTCGGACCAGATCATAGAAAATCTGCAATACACAAGAATTTCAATAAGCTTTTAAACAAGATTCAAAACTTTCTTAATGTCCCTGTAAAACACAAATGCTTCATTTTAAAGTATTCAAGTTATGAAAAATAGCTTATACTAAGCAAAATTTCTGTAAATAAAGCTTTCTGCCAATTACAGGATAGTTTGACTATATATTTATTGTATTTACTGTACTGATCCAGTTGATGTTTTTATCTTAAATTGGCCACATAATTACTGAATTATCTTCACAATTACTGAAATATGCTACCTGATGGATAGTACATCCAATGCCATTCAAACTCTGAAGTCATGGAAGTAGTACAGTACTTTAATATTTGGGTTGTAATAATCTTAATTTTCTACTTTAAATAAACTAAACTAAAATCTTTCACAATGTCCCAGTACTGCATAATGGCCACTTTAAAAGGTAATAATGGAATACTTTAAGGGACAATCAATCTAAATCTTACATAATCTATGACTTAGTTAATTTCATATTCATGTGCAACATTAATAAATTACTTGTATTAAGTTGAGTTGAGGTGAACAACAGCCAAAAAGGTACGATGAATCACTAGTTAGGTCTCAACTAAAGTAGCGTGCTCAATTCTGGTGATCACACTTTATGGGGGGTTGTCAAAGCCTCAGTGAGTGTGTAGGAGAGATTTACCACAAAAATACCTTGAATAATGGTTTTCTGATTCTGGACACACTAAAAAAGATGGTATTGTAATCCCTGGAGCAGAGAAGATTAACGGGCTCTTTAATATTAAAGGCATTCAAAATTATTAGCATTTTGAGTGCAGTTGGAAAGAAATCTTCCATTGGCAGAGAATCAGTAACCAGAAATCATGGGATAATTAATTTTAAAAATATGCCAAGGCATAGTGAAAATCGATTTCTAGCTCTCTTTCACACACACAAACATATAGCTTTTTCAACATTAAATGGACTGAAAAAGGGTGGAGGAACCAGGTTCAATAAATTTCAAAGAAAAAATACTTGCTACAGAACTTGCAGGACTACGGGGAGAAGTGGCTGTGGGACAAATTGGATTGCTCAAAGAGACATGGTAGACTGAAAGAATAACACACCACAGATGCAGATCAAAAATCAATAAATGTCACAAATCAATTGAATGAACAAGTCCTTCTAATTTAAATTGATGCCACATCACAATTCTCAGACATTTAAAATATATCACAAGATAACCAGAAATGAGAGGCTAATCAGCATTCCTTAATTCAGCCTGGATACTCAACATTTTACGATCCAATTTCCAACTGCATCTGAAAAGGTTCCAGGATTTTCACCTCAACTACCTTTCTGGCATGTCTTCTGTACAGAGATCATACTTTGCATGAAGCATGCACACTTTTAATTTAGAACGCAACACCTAAGTACAGTTTGCAGGACTATTTATAAACTTACTCCCAGCTACACACGGCCCTGAATTGGAACTACATCACCACTGCTTCACTGGCATTGTATTTGGGGAGGCAATGGCCTACTGGCATTGTCACTGGACTGTCAACCCAGAGGCCCTCTGGAGACCTGGGGTCGAATCCCATTACGGCAGACGGTGGAATTTGAATTCAATAAATATTTGGAATTAAGAGTCTAATGATGATCGTGTATCCAGTGCCCATTGTCAGGGAAAACCCATCTGGTTCACTAATGCCCTTTAGGGGAGGAAACCTTACCTGGTCTGCACTAAATGTGACTCCAGACCAACAGCAATGTAGTTGACTCTTAACTGCCCTCTGGGCAATTAGGGATGGGCAATAAATGCTTCCTAGCTAGCGATGCCCTCATCCCATGAATGAATAATAAAAAAAAAGCCTTGAAATCCTTTTCTAACTGTATTGTATGCCAGATGGACTGCAGCATGTTCAAGGCAGCAGCTCACTATCTCCTTCTCAGGGCCAGTTGAGACAAGAAACAAATACTGACAATGTCAAAAAGAATTCATTCCATAGAGATCAGGAAAACATTTAGACAAGTGCTTGAAGGACTGAGAACCAGCAAACAGACGGACAAGATTGGAAAACTAAAATAATGGGAGATCCAGAATGGAAGATTCCAAAAATGTAACAGACAGAAATGTGGATTTTCCAGTACCTGTATATAAAAATAATACAAATATTAAGTAGAGATAGTAGGAACTGCAGATGCTGGAGTATCTGAGATAACGCCCTTGACCGTGTCTCCCGCATTTCCCGCAACTCATCCCTCACACCCCCTCCCCGCAATAACAACCAAAACAGAATCCTCCTCGTCCTCACGTACCACCCCACCAACCTCCGGATCCAATGCATCATCCTCCGACACTTCCGCCATCCGCAATCCGACCCCACCACCAAAGACATTCTTCCCTCCCCACCCTTATCTGCTTTCCGGAGGGACCACTCTCTCTGTTTCTCCCTTGTCCGCACCACACTCCCCTCCAGCCCCACCACACCCGGCACTTTTCCCTGCAACCACAGGAAGTGCTGCACCTGCACCTGCCCCTACACCTCCCCCACCCCCCTCACCACCATCCCAGGCCCCAAGAAGACTTTCCACATCAAGCAGATGTTCACCTGCACATCTGCTAATGTGGGATACTGCATCCGCTGTTCCCGTTGTGGCCTCCTCTACGTCGGGCAAACCAAGCGGAGGCTTGGGGACTGCTTTGCAGAACATCTACACTCGGATCGCAATAAACAACTGCATCTCCCAGTCGCGAACCATTTCAACTCCTCCTCCCATTCCTCAGACGACACGTCCATCCTGGGCCTCCTGCAGTGCCACAACGATGCTACCCGAAGGTTGCAGGAACAGCAACTCATATTCCGCTTGGGAACCCTGCAGCCCAATGGTATTAATGTGGACTTCACAAGCTTCAAAATCTCCCCTCCCCCTACCGCATCCCAAAACCAGCCCAGCTCGTCCCCGCCTCCCTAACCCGTCCTTCCTCCCACTGATCCCCTACTCCCCCCCTCAAGCCCCAACCCCATCTCCTACCTACTAACCTCATCCTGCCCCCTTGACCTGTCCGTCCTCCCTGGACTGACCTATCTCGTCCCTACCTCCCCACCTGCACTCACCTTTACTGGCTCCATCCCCGTCTCTTTGACCTGTCTGTCTCCTCTCCACCTATCTTCTCCTCTATCCATCTTCTATCCACCTCCTCCTCGCTCCCTATTTATTTCGGAACCCCCTTCCCCTCCCCCATTTCTGAAGAAGGGTCTAGGCCCGAAACGTCAGCCTTCCTGCTCCTCTGATGCTGCTTGGCCTGCATTGTTCATCCAGCTCTACACCTTGTTATCACAAATATTAAGTAGTAAGGTTTTCTGATTAAGAAATGATTACATAAAGTACAACAAAAAGAGCATTAATAATCAGTGTTTCTACACTTTAGTCTCACCTCATTAACGTTAACCTTTGACTTTGCAGATGATTCTAGAAAGGCACAGTTACACCACTGTCTTGCTAGATTCTGTCCTTGTTCTTTTCCAACCACACGTTCTTCCTCTAAATCACACTTATTACCAACCAAAATCATTGGCACCTGTATTAAAAGTTAACAGTTGAAATACTGTTAGAAGTGGAAAACGTTTGTGCAAATACAAAATTATTTTTTTAAAAAAATCACTTTTTTAGTCTTCGCCTACATTAATAAAATAATTGACAAATTAATTACATTTACAGCTATGACAACAGAATGAAACAAGGAACAAAGTTTTTGTAACTAGGCATATTTAGTGTAATTATCAATGTTAATGGAAGACTGGGAAACACACATCCACTAGTCCAGAAGAACTGTTATACAATTTTGGCAATCTATTGTCTCAAAAGCCATAATAACAGAACTACAATAACCAATGTTTTGATCTATTAGTCCTTAGCTAAAAATTTGTGGTTTAAAGATAACCTTAGGTTTGAAAGAGCAAACCTAGAATTACTGATAAGCATTTTAGCAGATTACGTGCACATGCTGAATGGCAGTGATCACAGTCACTAATGGTTACAGGAGATGGGATGAATTAATTTTGGGAGAATGGGAAGACCTTGATCAGCAACTGTGACTGCATTAAGGGATTGTTAAAGTTGGTTTTAATATTGATATTTTTATTCTGAAGCAAATTAGCTCTCATTGAGTCATCGTGCAAAAGTGACTATACAAGCAAACAAAAAAGTGGACTGACAATAGTTGTGTCTCCCAGGAACACATTATACACCAAGCTACAAATATATTTCAGTAATACAAAGGTGAACAATTCTCAACATTAAAAGACAGCACTTGTGGCTGAATTTGCCATAAATCTTAATTCTATTTAATTTTTCAACTATGCACAACTCTCATCTGTTGGAACAAAAACTAAACAGGTCATACATAGAATGATGACATTTTATAGAGACAACTGACATTTTCAGGAATATACATGTTGTGTTAATCTTAATATACAATAGAAACAGGATGACTTGCAGTCCACTTTTGCTTTCACAAAATTTCATCATATCCATTTTCCACTCTGAACTTTTAATTAGCATTTAGAGCCATACAGCATGGAAACAGACCCTTCAGACCAACCAATCCATGCCGAACTAATCCCAAACTAAACTAGTCTCATCTGCCTGCTCCTGGCCCATAACCCGCCAAACCTCTTCTATTCATGTGCCTGTCCAAATGTGTTTTAAACATTGTAATTGTACCCATAACCACCACTTCTTGAGGAAGTTCATTCCACATGCAAACCACCCTCCGTGTAAGAAATTACCTCGATGTTTTTTTTATCTCTCTCCCCTCTCAACTTAAAAATGTGCTCCCTAGTCTTGAAAAGCCCCATCCTAGGGAAAAGACAACTACCATTAATAACTCTATCAATACCTCTCATTATTTTATAAGCTTCTATCAAGTTGCCTCTGAATTAATGAAGTTGAGATGTACAAAAATGGACTAAAAAAGATAAAACCATATGGAACAAGTACAAGAGCAATACTACTGCAGGCCGTATGAATCATTCTGCAGCTCACTGACCTAGGACTTTTCTAAGGATGACCTTTATCTTTGCGACGAAAAGAATGATTTTGTCACCTGAAAACTGCTTGCAGTAAGCAATCCGAGATCAATTTACAGATATATACCAGTACCTTTAACTCACACAGAATCATCAATGACCATGCCATGAGCTTTCTCGTACATATGGCAATACAATTGTTGTGACGATTGGTTTTCCGATTGCTAGATGTTGCCATAGAGGTCAAAAGACTAATCATTTAGCTGCAAAGAGTTTGGCACATCCTATGCGTTCCAAAGAGATACACAACGCTGCTTGAAAAATCTTACCCGTAAACTGTTGCCTTCTTCACTAAGAGTATATTAACACAATAAAGGTATACTCATGGCAAAGAGTGACTTAAGGAAGATAAACATGGTATGGTATGCAATGGTATGTAACTCCACAAGAAGTTATTAAAATGATGCCACTTCCCACCTGGCCGGGGGACCTCCGCATCAACTCCACTTTCTTTCCCACTCCTATATCCTTTTGTTACTCTTGATGCTCAAAAATATATTAATCTCAGTTTTGAATCTAGTCATTGACTGGGTATCTGTAACTCCCGTGTTTCTCCACTCTTGGCCCCTTGTATTATCAATTAAGATTTGGCACAGGTACCAAAGACCTAATAGAATAAAGGAACAGTTGAGGGTTAGAAGATAATTAAGGGATAACTGGGTGAGAATTGGATGTATATACTAATTCTCTAATGGGAGATGGAGCGGGGGCCGGGGCGGGGAGGGGGTGGCGAGCGAACTCAGAAATAGAGTGATTATTCTGATGTGCAAGTTGAAATAGAATTCTGACTGGAAAAGTTTGTCTGACATTGATCAACTTTTGTGATGAACTGTAGTAGTAGAAGGTGGTTAGGTGTTGGTAAATCAAAGATTAAAGTTAAGTATTATTCTACTCAAAGAGTCATTTGGAGAAAACCTCAGAGATGGATGAACCAAAGGCTCAAGTATCCAAGCATGGCCAGGCAGCATCAGAGGAGCAAGAAAGTTGACATTTCAGGTTGGGACCCTTCTTCAGAAATGGGCAGTGGGGAGGGGAGCTCAGAAATAAATAGAGAGAGGAGGGGTGGGGCTGGGGAAGATAGGTGGGTTGGTAATAGGTGAATGCAGGTAGGCAGTGGTGGGGATTGGTCAGTGAGGTGGGAGGAGCGGTTAGGTGGGAGAGATGATGGACAGGTTGTGTCAGGTCAAGGAGGCAGGGATGAGGAGGAGGCTTGGTCATGGGATGAGGCCGGGGCGGGTGGGGAGATGGTGTTCGCGACAAATGACAACACCTTCTGGTCATGAACTATTTCAACATCCCCTCCCACTCCCTGGGTGACATATCCATCCTGGGCCGCCTCCAGTGTCACAATGACACCACCCGGAAACTGGAGGAGCAGCACGTCATATTCTGCCTCAGGAGCCTACAGCCCAATGGCCTAAATGTGGATCTTACCAGCTTCACAATCTCCCCACCTCATCCCACCTCCCTGACCTGACAACCTGTCCATCTTCTCTCCCACCTATCTGCTCCTCCCACCTCACCGAGCAATCTCCACAATTTCCTATGTGCACTCACCTATCACCATCCCACCAACCTTTCCCAGCCCCACCTCTCCTCTGTTTATTTCTGAGCTCCCTATCGCCCCATTTCTGAAGAAGCGTCCCGACCCAAAATGTCAACTTTCCTGGTCCTTTGATGCTGCCTGGCCTGCTATGTTCCTCCAGCTCCCCACTGTGTTATCTCTGACTCCAGCACCTGCAGTTCTTACTTTCTCGGAGTATCCAAGTATGACTACCCATTCATTTTCTCAATGCAAAGCTTATGAACAGTGGAAGTACAAAGTAACCATGTGGACCAGCATTTCTTCTTTACTAAAGAGCAAACAAGGTCTGGCTTTAGCACTTCTGCCATTTAAGAAAATGGATAGTAAGGAAATTTCCTTTCAGAATTGAAAATTGATGAATTAGACAAAGCATCAACTTTCATGGATAACATTTATCAAAAAGATGATTTACTAACTGTTTTGAAAAGTGATCAGATTTTAATTAAGGAAGAGCAAAGATAGTTTCAGAGAAGAGTACGTAATGAAATTCAATACACTGCATGCAAGATTTCAGAAATTGTATTTGGAAATTCTCCAAACTGTGCTGACATTTAAGTTATTATTTCTAATAAAATATGGAATTTAGACATACATCTAGTTTTGACACAAGTTAAACTTGCAAATACACACTGATAGACAAATATCAGAAGCATTAAAAAATACTTGGATAATATTCCTTTCCAGCAACCTTCATAGCAAAAATCAGGCAATTGGCCACACAACAGAAAATGAAAGATACAACATTAATGGTCTGGACAGACTGTTTAGAGACAGATTGCAAGCAACTGCAAGAAAGAAGTATTTTAACTAAGAGCTCCGAGAACTGACACACTTTCAACAATTGAGAGGTAAGGGAAATTGGGACTCAAGATGAAAAAATGAACCTCTGAAATGCAAAGAGTGTGGTGAATCCATGTTTAAATCGAAGTACCATCACCACCATGAACTTTTCTTTATTCATTCATGGTATGTGGGCATCACTGGCCAGTCCAGCATTTATTGCCCATCCCTACTTGTCCAGAGGGCAGTTAAGTGTCAACCACATTGTTCTGGATCTGGAGGCACATGTAAGCCAAACCAGGTAAGGACAGTCCCTTCTCTAAAAGGACATTAGTGAACCATATTGTTTGTTTGATTTATTGTTGTCACACGTACCGAGATACAGCGAAATGTTGTTTGAGCTATACTAGCAGATCGTACCACACAACGTGCATCAGGGTAGCAGAACAATGTGCAGAATACAATGCTACAGCTGCAGAGAAAGTACAGAGAGAGAGACAGAGAGGAGAGAGAAAAATCAACATTAACATTTGAAAGGTCCCTTCGAAGATCTGATAACAGTGGGAAGGAAGCTGTTCGTAAGTATATTCAAACTTTTATCCTCTGCCTGATGGAAGAGGGTGGAATAGAATATAACTAGGGTGGGAGGGGTCTTGTCTTTGATTATGTTGATTGCTTTCCCAAGGCAGCAGCAAGTACAGACTGAATCAAAATGCTGGTTTACGTGATTGAGTGAACTGTGTTCCGACTCTCAGTAGTTTCTTGTGGTCTTGAGAAGAGAGGTTGCCATACCATGCTGTGGTGCATCCAAATAGGATGCTTTCTATGGTGTATCTTTTGTCTTTTGGAACTCTGATGTACACTGAAGACAAGGTATTGTATGTTGTCATTTTTTTTTGTTTTTCATTGTTATTGAACATTATTAATTATCCTCTAGTAGGGTCTGGCAGGGATTGCCAAGACCAAATGGAACAAGTAATAATTTATTACTTGAATTTCTTTTCTTTTATTCATTTTTGTGGGATGTGGGCATCACTGGCTGGCCAGTATTTTTTGCCCATCGCTAGCTGCCCTTGAGAAGGTGGAGGTGAGGTCCCGCCTTGAACTGCTGCAGTCCATCTGCTG